AGTGTCAAAGGCCTTCTTAAAGTCTAGAAAGACTACGTCCACAGCGACACCATCATCCAAGGATTTAGTTACTTGGTCGTAAAAGGCAATCAAGTTCGTCTGGCAGGAGCTGCCTTTGATGAACCCGTGCTGATTGCCCCTGAGCATGATCTCCCCTGCAGGCCCCCCACAGATATGCTCCTTGATGATCCTCTCCAAGAGCTTCCTGAGCACCGAGGTGAGGCTTACAGGCCTATAATTACTTGGGTCCTCCTTCCTCCCCTTCTTAAAAATAGGGACCACATTAGCCAGTTTCCAATCCCCTGGCACCTGGCCAAATGACCACGAATGCTCATACAGTCGGGCCAAAGGCTCTGCAATGACCCCTGCCAGCTCCCTCAACACCCTTGGGTGGAGGGCATCTGGACCTGCATGTTTAAAAATGTCTAGCCCTTCCAGAAGATCCCTAACTACATCTGCGCTGACTGAAGGCTTGATAGAGCTATCCCCAAGATTGACCCTACCTCTGGTAGGTGGGATATCCCGATCCCTGTTCAGGAAAACAGAGGCAAAGAAACTGTTAAAAATATCAGTTTTCTTGTCTGGCGTGGCCACCAGATTACCGTTTGTGTCTTGCAGGGGCCCTACATTGCCTGGTGCCCTCTTCTTGCTCCCAGTGTACTTGAAAAAGGACTCTTTGTTGTCCTTAATCCTGGATGCTAGCCTGAGTGCCATCTCTGCCTTGGCCTTCCTAATGGCCCTCCTACACTCCCGGGCCGAGGAGGAGTACTCCTCCTTGGTGATAGCTCCTCCCTTTCACTGGTTGTACGCCTCCTTTTAGTCCTCAGGCATTGCTGAATACCCTTGCTGAGCCAAGGGGTTTTCTGAGCGCTCTTACCCCCCTTGCTTCTCTCAGGGACTGTTATCCTTTGAGCCTGGAGGATCGCCCCCTTAAGGTACGACCTTATAATTATGGGTTATAATTATAATCTTATAATTATGGGTTTTCTTGTATTTGAGTAAATATGGTACTCTAATTTTATCTGAACTTCTCAAAGTTCTACGCATTTTGTTGAATTCATCAGAATTGTTGCATATAGGTGTTTGTGCTTACCCCAAATTGAGAGAGGTAAGTAAGCTTACTTTCCAAGTATATTGACCTTCACACAGCTAAATATGGAATTCAGGTGTTGGACCCTTGTGATCTGATATCCTGTTGCAAATCATTATTGCTGGAAAACCTGAAGTAATTATTCTACTGACTACTTGAAAGAATAGCAGTCTTAAGGTGTTCAGCAGACCTTTTGAAACTGAAAAACATTCAGCAAGCCTCTAGGTGTTAGTTTCTTTTTTTGACAGTGGACCAGAAGCAGGGTCCCAAATTTATTAATATACAGTTGTTTTCAGTTGTGGTTAATTTCAAAATACCTCTCTTTGGTTGTATATATTGAGTGACATGTTGGCCTGGTTAAAAAGCATTTAATGTTTTTTCACAATAAAGTCTACTTTCTTTTAAAGCTGGCACACATTTCCAGCTTCTTTATCTTTTACACTTTATTCAGTTAAGTGATGAATAACTAATCCCAGATACGTTCATTATCTTTTTTTGGTTTTGTTTTTGACATCCATTAATTCAGCATCTCATTAGGGTATCCTGAGGTTTCCGAGCACTGAACACGTTGGAGTCCTTTCTAATAAAGGTTCTCTGAAATGTATATATGTGTCAGTTCATATTGAAGCTGAAGGTCTGGATCTTCCAGTTCAAGCCATGCCATGCTTTGTACTTGGCAAACTGGGTTGATGCCCCTTCGTAACACTGTCCTGGGCCAAGTCAGCATCAAGCTCTAGTACATGAGCAGCAATTCTCAAAGACACTTTAAGCAGAATATTATGCTGCCATTTGCTGTGCTAAGTATCTGGCATAAGTGCATGAGAATTTCAGCAGTTGAAACTTCTAATTTTAGTTTAACTATGATCAGCTGATTAACATTAAATCCAGTAACCTCTTATCATATGTAAAGTATCTTATAGAACTATTTATTTACTTCAGTACCCAGAGAGCACAGAAATCTCAATTTTGAAACCTAAGAATTGTAGTAGTCAGAGAAAGCACATGGCAAGGGACTGCATGTCATGTGCAGGCACCTCTGGATACACAATAGCAGTTAATCTAGGAGCCCTGCCCTGAGGAGTGTCAGCTGCTGAAAAATTACTGTTGCTGTATTTGAAACTAGGAAAAAGCATGTTCTTTTGATTTGGTGTATGCACCCTAGAATGGCATGCAGTTTTACTCATTTCAGTTTTATATTTCAGATAAGTTCAGTTTAAAACAAACTAATGATGAGAGACAGAATCTAACTGTTCTCGTGAAGGCTGTGCAAACCTGTCATTTTCTGGTATTTTTCTCCAAAGGAATGCTTCCAGCTGAACTTCAGATGCTTGCTGAAGACCCTTCAGAATACACAGCTCCTGAGGATGGGAATCTTGTATATAAATTATTCAGCTTAGATGATCTACTGTTACTTGTGCGTTGCACTGTACAGAATGCAGAGATTTGGCCACGGTCCCATAAAAATCAGCGCATCAAAAAGGTAAAAATAGTTTTTCTTGGCATCTTTTTCACCTGTACGCGTGACTGAAACTTTTCATTTATTAATGCCCACCTAAAGTGAACTGAATGTTTCTAGAGTTAAAAAAAAAGGAAGTTAATGGTGTTAGCCCAAGTGTTTCACCATTTATTACACTGACTTCATTGTATTTGAGTCATTCCTCTTGTACACAAGTGTTAGTTTATTTTCAGAGCTCTAAAGTTTGTAACTCAGAGCAAGTGTTTGTAGGAAGAGAAGCAAGGATTACTTTTTATTTGTTTGTAGATAAATGCATGTGGGTCTGATCCTGCACTCCTTACTGTACTATTTGTCATTTCCTGCAGTGGGAATTTGACTCAATAATGCATCCAGATTGATGTTCCATTTGAAATTATAAGTTCTTTTTCCAGAAAAACTACTTCATGTAGGTGATTTTATTTATTTGAAATTCAAGGCAATGGGAGTGTTCACAAAAGTGATGTGTTCTTGAATGTTGGTAGGATCTGGCCCAACTGTGATCTTCTTCATAAACACAAGTGCTCCCATTTGTTATTCATGTAACCTATCCATTGGTGGTGTTTTTGATTTTCATGTCAAGAGTACTCCTGTTGTTTCCTATGTATAAAGCTTAAGGTCTTTATAGTTTTTATTGATGTTAGGCAAACAGCATTTTTTTGGATGCTGTTTTGTTTGATGCACTTGCCTATTAGTCTGACTCCTGAAATTTGAGGCAAGTGCATCAAACAAAATAGCATCCAAAAATGCTGTTTCCCTAGCATCAATAAAAACTAAAGAAAGAAGGAAGCAGCATGCTATAAATTTGGGCTCCATCTCATACATATGGATCTGTGAAACTTGTAACAAGCTGGGCATCTCTACACATTCATTAATGCACTTTTGGTACTGCAGATTAAATTTAGTACCTCCATTGTGAGGTACTAGAAAAAGGCACATCAGCCTATTTTAATGCACATTAGCAAAAGGGCACGGTGTTTTTGTGACACTTTAACGTGCATTAAAATAGGCTAATGTGCATTAAAGGGCATGTGTAGACATGCCCACTGTGTCACTCTCAAATTGGGCTTGTCAGCCACAAACAGATTCATCAGGCATCTGACTAGAATGCCTACATGTACACCAATATCCAGAGGATCAACATTTGTCTGCTATTGTTTGGCTTTGAAACTTTAACCTTCTTTTCATTTTCCAAAAGATAATTTCCTAGCTTTATTCATGTGTCTTCTTTTTTTAAACGAACTGCATTTTTAATAGAAAAAATAGAAATAGGAAAATAGAATTTTTCCCACCATCCATTCTTTGGAATGGCTGAAACTTTTTGCTGGGAACATTCATAAAATTCAGGCTGCGGCTGAGTCTCTCAAGATGGCGAGTGTTAGGCCACCTTAATAATCACTGCTAACTGTACCTATAATTATTGCATTAGATGCCCTTTGGTTATGTGTGATAAAACTGGAGTGGTGGTTTCAGTATATACATCTTCATATGTAGAGACATGCTCTCTTCCCCAGCAGATGAAATGCATAACAGACCTAGCAGTAGCAGCCAATAAACATAGACATTTGTACAGCTAGTAGTAAGTAGGAGCTGAAGGTTGTCTTGGATGATTTCAGTGTGGTGCTTGATAGTGTTATAGCTGACATTGAATTGAATGAAGTGGGGAAATCTATGTGGAGTTTTCTTCATGTTACTTTTGCAATTCTCTTGCTGCTTTATCCTTCTGTTCTTGGACAGTCAAAGATAGAAGTAGCCATGATGGTTTGGGAGGAGTGTGAATAGTCAAAAAATGTTACAGTATTTTAGCACTTAAAAGGAGGGATAGTAGGAGTATTCTGGCTTCATGTGGGATAATATAGTGTATTCCAAATGATCTTTATATTTCCTGAAGGATCACAGCTCCTTTTCCTTCAACTGAGAGCACATTTATGAAATTTGTCTCAGTACATTTTTGCTTTTGAGAATAAAAGTTTGTCTTTTCTGAGTGGGAACTTCTACTATTCCTGGTTAGCTTTTGCTTAGCTGGGAATTCAGAGTTTGCTGTTAAATAATCAGAAATTGCTATCTTTTGTGAAAATCCACTGCATCATTTGATAATTGTGGCCCATCAACTCATGCCATATATACAGCATAATTGTGAGATTTCTAAACAGTCATACATTCGGGGATAACATTGTCCACTCTGTATTGTTGTAGAATTACATTTCCATTATGGTTTGATTATGCTTCTAAATGTTGAGAGATAGCTAGTTAGTGTGTAACTTGAAGTCTTCACTCATAGATGTTTTAACACCTACCCCACAAAAGGAGAGTGTATGGCCATGTCCAGATGTGCAGGGGTGTGTACTTGCATTGGCAAAAATTGTAGCGGCACAAATTTGTGCTGCCACTCACACCCCTACACATGCTTTGGTGAGGGACAAATTGTCCCACTTCGGACAAACTGCCCTTTCGTGTTCCCTGTGTGCAGTTTGTGGCACCGCAGAGAGGCTTGCTGTGCCACAGACCACACGTGCCTGCAGGCCAAATGCAGCCTGTGTGTTTGATTGTTGGGTTTTAACACTTGCATTTGATTCCATATTTTCAGTTATTAAAATGTTATTATTTTCTGCTAACGTTCAAGAGATCTTTTCAGAGAAAACTGCATGCAGTTTAAAAACAAAACATGGTGGCTCTTTTCAGACCTAAAGTTCAGATTTTTTGCCTTTTCAGGTCTTCTGGGGCTTCTCATTTTTGGCATAATTGTAAGCAATAAGTTCTGTTACATGCAAATAATTGTACTTTTGTGTACTGAATTGTAAAACTACTTCTTCCAAATTCTAATTGTAAATGAATTTCAGGTTGAGGAGTAAAAGGAAAGCTGAAGCTCTGTGTTTAGTGATAAAATGCAGATGCTATTTTAGGATTTTAAACAGGATTTTAGTATGAATTGTGAGGGGGAAAGGGTTTCCTTTATTATAGGCTAACTCAGAAATGGGATAATTGCCTTTTTTTTTTTTTAATTAAAATTCCTAGAGAGGGCAGCATAGCATAGAGAAATGAAGCACAAAATAATGTATACCTAAGTAGAAATTGTTACATTCTGTACATTTTCTCATGTTAAATCTTGTCTAAGTGAAAATGTAGGGGGGAAAGGAGGAAAATGCACCTTTCCTTAAATTTACCCTGTGTGGGTTTTCTTTTATGTAAAATGTTCTGTTACAGTACCATCTATGTCATTATTTGTGTTGCTTCCTAAATCATGCCTGGAAGCCTGTGATGATGATTAATACAAAAAAAATTGGTTGTTATAATTGCTTGTAAATTGTTGATGGCTGCTTGACAAATATTTCTACCCTCACAGCGTATTCCTGTTCACATATTGCCAAAACTAGAATATCAACCCTATTTGGGTCTGGAAGCTCTCACGGAAAGTGAAATATGTCGGATGTGGACAGAGAACCTGTTGCATTCTAAATGTTCATTTTATGTAGGTAAGTTTTTGTATCTTTTTGTCCAGTTATCCATCAGCAGCTGGAATATCTTCTCTTTGACAATTAATCACTAACTGGTATTTTTCTTCATGGCCAGTTACTACCTTGGTTCTTTTAACCCACCTACACACACACAGCTTTTTTTTCTTAATTTGCTGCTTGGTTAGTCATCCTTTTCCTTTTAGGTAACTACTTTATTTTAAGTTGCTCCAGAAATAGTAAAGAGCAGCAGTTACCTGTGTTGGTCTGTAAGGTGCCATCCTACCCTCCCTCCTGTGTGATTAGATTTAACTCATTGGGAGAGGTATAAGCTGCTGTAGGCAACAGTTTATGTTGTTTATAGCATCTGATAAAGTAGGTTGTTGTCTATGAAAGCTTATACCACCCTGAATGATTTAGTCTCCAAGGTGCCACTCTTCTCAGAAATAGAAGAGCAGGGTATTTACAGTTGTGCTACAGGATCCCACATCAGAGGCTCTTTATGAATTCAGGTAGCCACGGGGTTACAGGGAAGGTCCATTCATAGATTAGGAATTGGCTTAAAGATAGAAAACCAAGGCGAACTGTGAGGAAATAGAGAAGGACCTGGCATAATTGAGTATATAAATAAATGACATGAAATTCAATGTAGATAAGTGTAAAGTACTGCATGTGAGCAAAATAACCCAAACTGTACCTACATGATGTTGGGCTTTTCATTAGGTTTTACCATACAGGAAAGAGATCTGAGAATCATTGTGGATAGTTTGCTAAAAACATCAGCTCAGTGCACAGCAGGTATCAAAAAAACAAGCAAAATGTTAGGAATTATTAAGAATGAAATTGTAAACAAAATATCATTATTCCCCTTTTATGAATCCATGGCACATCTACATCTTGAATATTGTGCCAGTTTTGGTCCGTACACCTCATAGAGGATATAGAAGAACGGATATAAAAGAACTAGGGAAGGTACAGAGGAGAGCAACAAAGATGACTGGTAGTACGGAGGGGTTTTCATACAAGAAGAGACTAAAGAGACTAAGCCTATTTGGTTTCGAAAAGAGACACTTGAGGAGGGACATGGTAAGGATTTACAAAATACTAAATGGTGAAGAGAAAGTAAATAAGGATTTATTATTTACTGTCTCTTACAATACAAGAACTAAGGGTCATAAAATGAAACTAGTAGGTAGTGAATGTAAAACTCTTTTTCACATAGTGTGGAACTCATTGCCATCAAATGTTGTAGAAGCTGATAGTTTAGCCAGATTCAGAAAGGGATTGGATAAATTATTGAAGGAAAGAGGTATCAGTAGCTGTTGAGCATGGGAGTTTCATAGTTGGTAGGGTCAGAAGGGACCTGAGCAGATCATCAAGTCCGACCCCCTGCCATGGAGTTAAGGGTACAGCCCCTGAATCAGAATTTCCTAGACTCTAAATGGAGGAAGCTGCAAGTGGGAGAGGAACAGTGGAAAAAACTCTGGCCATACCTTGTTCACTCTCTCTTTCAGCATCCACTTTCTGCAGCTGTGACACACAAGATGCCGGATGAGGTGGATCCATGGCAGGGGTGGGCAAAATGCAGTCCGCGGGCCAGATGTGACCCACCAGGCCATTCTATCTGGCCTGCAGGGCCCCTAAAAAATTTAGAAAATGAATATTTATCTGCCCCTGGCTGCCTGTCAATGGGGCCCTTGATGGCTTGCCAAAACTCAGTAAGCAGCCCTCTGCCCAAAATAATTGCCCACCCCGATCTATGGTCTGACTCATTAAATGGCACTTTATTTTCTTGCTACCTAGTCCAAATCAGAAAAGGATGTTATCTAGTAATGCTTCTTTTATCTGGAGATGCATTCAGTTTCTTCAGTTACTTGTCAAGGGCAAATACCAGATAAGTAGGGGTGCACCGATTTAAAGATTTTTTTTTTTGGCCAATACCGGTGGCTGATTATTAATAAGCAGTATCTACTGGTCCAATTGCTGATACGCAACCTGGCAGCTTGGAGAGCAGTGTCCGGCTGCTAAATCTGTGAAGGAAAAGGGACAGGGGGAGGGAAGGGGCACGGGGGAGTCAGATTGAGGCCCCTGCAGTGGGGTAGGGGCAAGCACTGCCCAGGCAGGGTAGGGCATGGGATGGAGCCACGAGCAGCTCGTCCAGGGGGGCAAGGTGCGACTCCCACCACTGGTACACCCCAGTGGAGGCACGGAGGGGTGTGTGCAGGGCAGGCAGCAGCGGCGCTGGGAGTGGGGACTACGGGGTAGACTACAGCCACCCCAAAATTTCTGTAGATTCCCTCTCCCAGTACCTCCACCACCCGCCTCTTGCCCAGCCCCTTTGCCAAGAACAGCCCAACACAGGTCCATGAGGCATGTGCCCCTCTGTGGCTCCCCCAGGGTGCACCAGTGGTGGGAACCTTCCCATGCCCTCAGACGAGCTGCTTGCTGCTCCGTCCCACACCCTGCCCCAGCTGAGTAGTGCCTACATTTGCCCCAGTTCCACTCCCTTCCTCACCCTGGGGGGTCCTCGATCTGCTCCCCCTTTTTCCCCACAGACTTACCAGCTGGACCCTGTTCTCCAAGCTGCCAGGCTGTGTGCGTGCACGCAGCATTTGTCAACAATGTTATCAGCCAAAAAAACCCAATTGCTGATAAAGTTGATTTTGATTTTATTGGTGCCGAGTCAGTATGAACCGATGTATCAGTGCACCTCTACTGGTAAGATTTAAATGCTTATTTTTCAGAGATCACTAATTTTAGTGAGTTCATTTATGAAAGCTGGAATTCAATTTTTGGCAACTTCAGGTTGCAAGTGAATCAAGAAAAGGGATTCTTCTCTATTTGGTACTTGTGAGACCTCACATGGAGTATTATGTCAAGTTTTGGGCCCTGCACTTCAAAAAAGATGTATACAATTCAGAAGGGCTCTAGTGGAAAAAAACAAAAACGATTAGAGGCCTAGGAAACAGATTCTGAGGAAAGGCTGAAAAAACTACTACTGTTTAGTCTGAAGAAGAGAAGATTTTGGGGGGAGTGGGAGGATTTGGTCATTCTTCCTGAAAGAACAGACAAAGCTCTTAACAGTAGAGGAAATGTAGATTAGAGATTAGGAAGAATTTGTTAACTCTGAGCATGGTCAAGCATTAGGACAGACTACCTAGAAAAGTTGTGGAATCTTCATCCCTGGAAGTTTTCAAGAGTAAGTTGACTGAAAGCTTGACTGGGATGATTGAGTCAAGGATGAGCATGCCTTGAGCAGGGAACTGAATTAGATGACCTTGGGAGGTCCCTACCATCCCTACTTTCTTTTGATCCTCATCTTCATCAACAGGTTGAATACATACTGTATAAGATATAGACTATATCATCTGTACAGGGTACAGAATATCTAAGATACAGAAATAATAGACAGAAAAGAGAGCAAGCCAAGACAATTTATAAAAGCTTAAACTTTCCTGCCCATGCTTTCTTTCATGTGAATAGGAATGTTCTTTAAGAAGCAGTTTTCCCTTTAACCTTAGCTGTTTCACAAATATTTTGGTTTACATATAAGTTTCCTGTAACAAATTTTAGAAGTAAAAAAGCATAATTACAACAGCAAAAGAACCTTGTTTTCCTGACTTTTTTTAAACTACTTTTAGTCCCACTTTATGGATGTGCTTTATGTGCAAAATATTCCATATAACTTTAAACAGGTACCAGAACTGGAAATATTGTAGAATTTCAGAAATTCAGGGAACTGGGAAAATAATGTTATAGTTTTTTGCTATGTCCTATACAAACATGTTGTAACTCTATTATAACCATATTTCAAAACTGCAAAACACTAAACATTAAGACACCAGTGAATTTACAGTATTGAGACTTCAGTCATCTGACGCGATTAAGACATCAGAATTTCAGGAATATCTTTAAGCAGAAGCTCCTAATATGAAGGTAAGAAAAGCAAATGCTAAATTTGTAAATGCTTCCTAGTTTTATCTGTAATACGATTCAGGATATTTGAATACTGAGTTACCTTATCAAGAATAGTCAAGCATTTTCCACTTAGTTATTTCCCCTGCCTGACACTTTTCTTTCAACTAGCCAGCCATTCCTCCTCACCTATGCTTGACCAGTCCCTGAAGTTTTATTTCCTAAAGAGAGGAATGTTCTCTCTCTCATACTATGTGAGAGGTAAGGGTGGAAAACCAAGAGAAAGGGCCAAACTGTATTTGATTGAAATGGAATACTGGAACTGAAAGACAAAAGCTTGTGGAGAAAATGTAGATTGTCATTGAAAAAATTAATAACTGTAATTCAACACTTAGGAAGTAGAGATTAGGTTAAAGTGGGGTAACACCATAGGAATATTTAGGGCCCCGTTAGGAGGGCCTATTATTGCCAAATTAAATAGCTTCTGGTTCATTAACTAAGATGTTATTTTCCTTTTATATCAGTAATTTGCTGGCTAATGATGATTTCTAGTAGTCATTATGTCCAGTTTGTTCAAAAATATATTTTTAAATGTCTTATTTATTATTTAATTTTATATTCCATCCTACCCAGAAAGGCTCAAAGCCGCTTACCATAAAACAAATAGCCCACAAGATAAGAAATGTAACAAAAGGCCCCACAAGTGCCACCCCAGAACTTTAAAGCTCCATCCCACTGCACCCACTCATGCTTCCCTGCCTCTTACAGTAGACCAAACCCTCTAACTTGTCCCCACATTTCCACCACCCACCCCCATTCATATGTAGGTATAAAGAACCTCTTCCCACTGCCCCATATCCACTGACTTCCATTCTCCTGCTGCTTACCCAGGGGCAGATCAGTCTCTCCTCCAAACTCTCTCCCTAGCCCACATGTCCCTTATCTTAAAGAATCTATAACACTCCTCAAAATATACATATATTGTTCCCCTTCCCCCAACAAACAACATGCATTAAAAATATGTCTATATACCAACAGGAAAATAAGAAATGACCATCCCCACCAAAGGGCATTTGAATTCAGTTCATAGTCAGAGGATTGTTGCT